AAAAAAAAAAAAAAAAAAAAAAAAAAAAAAAAAAAAGAAGAAATATGAAAACTACGTTAAAAGAAAGAAAGGTATGAACTAAAAAGATGATAAGGGAGTTGGAGAGTGGTGGTTAAGAAGGAAGTGGGTGGAAACAGATTAACAATGGCCGCTGCCCTCTGAGCTTAACCTTCAAACTTCTTCCCCTCACCTTTCTTCTTGCCGTTGCAAACGGAATGTCACTTCCATGGTGGACCTCCGCCACTGCCCTTCCCTCTCCCCCTCATACTCGGCTGATTAATCACCATTACAATCGCCTCCTCCACTCTTACATTCGTCTCGCAAAATCAAGCCCTTCTACTTTGAAATCCACCCCTCCGAGAGCTCTATTGCTTGACGAATTCATTCAACTCAGCCACAACAAGGTAATCCGTTGCCTTCTTCTCACTCTGTATCGATAATTTCGTCTCTTTCTTGTTCTTAATGGATGAATATTGTTTTCAATTTGGCTTTATTTGTTTTCTAGGTTTTAGTTGCTGCCGGCGTGTCCGCTGCGATTGGGCAACTCGCGAAGCCTTTCACTTCTGTTCTTTTTTATGGCAGAGAGTTCAACTTTAGAACTGCTTTTGGAGCTGGAGGCTTCCCTTCTACCCACTCCTCTGTTAGTAGCCTCTATTTGCTTTGTATGTTCTGAATTCTTTTGTTAATATAATCACCACCGTCGCTGCTGTTGTTATGCCATGTGTTTCAGGCGGTGGTCGCCGCTGCCACTATTCTCGGCGTTGAGAGGTAATCCGCTACTCAATATGCGTTTCTTTGTTGATTGGCTTTCGTTTCTAAGAAGTTGTGTGCCTGTTTTTTCAGAATAACTTTTCATGACATTACTTAAGAATATAATCGCAGGGGTCTTGCAGATTCAATTTTTGGCATAACTGTAATTTACGCGTCCCTTATTATGTATGATGCTCAGGCAAGTACGAAGGCTCTTCTTCTTCTTTCTTGTTTAGCGCACGTTCTACTTGTTAATAATCTTCCCAACTCTTTTCCTGGCATTCTTCTGCGGATTAATGGGGATTTTTTCCCCATTTTCTGTTGTGCTCTGCTAAGTAAGTTAATATGGACTTCTATGGATGAGGAACATCGATGGAAAGAGAAACTGATCTCATAATTTTACCATGTGGACTCTGATATCTTCTTTATGCTCTGTATCTTCGAATTTATCTGGAGGACATCCAATGACCAATTTTATTGGGTGAATAATGGATATAGATCCTAAAAAAAATCATTACTTATGAACAAGTGTGACGAATCGAACGAAGTAAAGCAGGTCAAAACCCTGTACTGAAGTTTTTATTTTTAGAGTTCAAATAAGCGGAGTGGGGAATTCAAACCTCTTGATCTCTTGGTCGAGGGCACATCTTTTTAGCATTTATGCTATGCTCAGTTTGACAATAGCCTTATGTACATCACAATTTCAATTGAGAATCGTAGAATAGGTTAAGCTTCTTTTGATATCTTTTTGAGCAATAGCTAAATTAGTTTTGAATAGCACCGTTGTTATACTGTGAAAGTGTCTTCTTTTCCTGTTGGCTTGTTTTAGTCTTCTTCAATATTATGTTTCATGTTGCAGTCTCATTCGTGTTGTTTTGGATTTCATGCTAATCAACTATAGCTATATTACATGATCAGACGAAGGCAAAACTCAATTATTGAATAAGGTAGGTGAATGATCGTAATGGTTAACCGATATATAATATAAGCGAATATTAAGTACTTATCTTGGAGTTTGACCCCATTGCAATAGTATTTGATCTGCACTAGCAATTATTGTGTATTATGATATATTTTAACCTTCTTGGACTTTTGCTCTGATCATTGATGCGCACAAGGTTCTGTCCGGTGGTATCGGAGAATGGGAAGTTGCAGTCTCGATGGAAATGAATTAGTGGTTTGGTCGCTGGAAATGATAAGTATATGTTTATTTCTGGATGTATGTGTATATATATTCGCATGCAATACATAACAGTTAGAAAGTTTAGAGTTTAGACCCAGTAACCTCAGTTCTACAGTTTATTAGATAATTGATGAGGTTCTAACGGACAGGCTTAAATGGTTCTCCCCTCTGTCTAATCTACTTCTGTTGGCTGCGGCAAATCATAGACCTCATCTGAATGGCAAAAAAACTGGTCGATGATTCCTAAAGAAGAAACAAAAGGGGGTGATTTTTGAATTGAATCTTGAGAAAATTTGTGATAAACCTGATTGGCATTCCCTTGATTGTCATTCCCTTGATTGTCATCCTTCAAGTCGGAGGCTTTAGGAAATGGAGGAGAAAGTTGTTATTGGCTATGAGTTGAGCAGCAGCTTCTTGATCATTGTTAATCAGACCAGCCGGAGTTTGTAAGCTTCTAGAGATCTTTGTCAAGAGTTCCCTTTTTCTGTTTTCTTTTAGTATTTGTAGCATTGTAGCAGTCTAGAGGTGTAACTACCCAAACCCACCGCTTGCAAATATTGTCATTTTTGGGCTTTCCCTTATCCTCCAAACTTTAAAACGTATCTACTAGAGAGAGCTTTTCACACACTTATAAGGAATGCTTCGTTCTCCTCTCCAACTAATATGGGATCTCACAATCCACCCCTCTTGAGGGCCCAACGTCCTCGCTGGCACACTACTCGGTGTCTAGCTTTGACACCATTTGTAACTGTCCAAGCCCACTGCTAGCCAATATTGTCCTCTTTCGGTTTTCCATTCTGGGCTTCCCTCAAGGCTTTAAAACGTGTATACTAAGAAGAGGTTTGGAGGTCGGTAGGGTGGAAGTCTGTCGGGTGGCACGAGCTCCCACTCTATAAGTCATTTACGGCTTACTCCTATGATCACGCCAAATTAAGTAGTGTACATAAGATCTTTAAACTTTTGGGGCTTCAGCATAAAAATTAACTTGTTGAAATAAAATGTGGTCGGAATGGATTATTTCTCTAGGAGGCGGTGAAAATACTGCTGTGGGAAGCTTGCCTGTGATCTTGGGCTTCTTCTTCATGGAAACCAAGATGTTGTAAGCCTTCTGCTATACTGTGATTGAAGAATTTTGCGAATGGGAAACCTATCTCTTTAAGGCTCACTTCACGGCCCTTTCTAGACTCCCTATATACATTCTTTCCTTTTTTAGAATCTCCTGTAGTATTAAAAACACTATAACCTGCTCTTTTTGGTATCAGTAAGAGTAATCAACAACAAAATTTCTTATTTTGCAGGGAGTCAGAAGAGAAGTTGGAAAACATGCTAAAGCAATCAACACGCTATTGCCAACAAAGACACCTGTGAACTCATCCTTTTCCTATAAAGATCAGGATCGTCGAGTCAACTCGCAACTCGAGAGCAGCAGTCCCCTGTTATCTGAGGAAGGAACCAGGGCCTTGACGGTACTGAGTCCGTTAAAGGAGGAGGATATCGCATCGTCGAGCTTGGCAACTGATGTGGAAGAAGGGTCAAGAAGGGAGGGTAGTGAATGGAAGTCATTCAAAGAATCAATAGGCCACACTGAGATTGAAGTTGCAGCTGGTGCTTTGTTGGGTTTCACGGTTAGTCTGATAACTAATACATTATTGTGATTTATAATATTGATCTCACAAATAAACTGTATCTATACGAAGTCCCATTTTCTGTGTCAAAGCTAAACTCGAAAACGATAATTTAATGAGAAATTTATTACGTAGAGCCACCACACGAGACTCGACTAGTGGACTATGATTTATGTAAAACCAGACCATAAGACTTTTGTGGTTAAAAAGTGTTATGCTATTTTAAAAATTTTGTAGGTATTTTTTAAATAGAGTACAAAATTGGAGTGTATTGTCAAAACATTCGAAATTTCAAGGATATTTTTGAAACAAAATACCAATAGTTCTCATTGGTAATTAATAGTAACAATATTTTTTAATATTTTTTTTTTAATTTAGGGGTTAGATGAAATTTTTTAATAAAAATTTAATAAAATATAAAGTTTAAAGTTATTTTTATTTAGTTTTTGTTTTTTAATTTTTGATAAAGACTATTTTATTCCTAAAAAAAATTGAATATAAAACAATAATATTAAACAATGATTAAATTAGAACTTTAAAAATAACAAAAAATTTAAAAATGAATAAATTTATAATTTAATTCAACATATAATAATAGTAATAATAGTTAGAAAAAATGAATGTAATCTGAAAAAAAAAAACAACTTTTTAAAAAAAAAATTATAGGATTAAATCTGTAGTTTAGCAGAAAATATAATCATAATAAAATAATAACCAGAAAATTTTGGAATAAACCGTCACGGATTTTTGAAACGTTGAATTTAAGCGTTTAATAAAATCAATAATTTCTTTGTAGCCGTGGCGTTGTTATGATCTCAAACTCCAAAGATAAACCATTATCTGTTTCAGTTGTCGTTCTGCAATGGACCACGACGGGCCTCTCCAATTTCTTCAACTTCTGCTGTCAATCTTCCTTTGTTCAACCAATTAATGTAATAGCCGAAGACATTTTCGTCTTCGATTCAAAGAAAAGATGATACTACGCTCAGAAGCGTCCTCTGTTTTCACGATTTCCTCCACGGTTACCGATAATCAAACGTATAAGTATCACCGGCGGCAACTTCAGCTTCGTGATTACGGCGGAGGAGTTAGTTTTCATGTTCGATTCTGTAAACTTTTAACTCCAACGGCCGCTGTCATGGCCGTTTCCAGCGGCGGAACTCTCGCTTGTAGGAAATCTAGGAGTCGTTTCATGAACGTTAGGTCTTCTGCTACTGCCTCCGACTTGTCCTCCTCCATTCAGCCGCCGGACGTTCCAACGCCAGGTTCAGGTCCAGATAAGGTCAGTCTGTTGTTGTGTTGTTTAATTTCTTTCTGCTGATTGCTTGTGGAGAATGACTTTGAGCTTGATTCTGGATGGTGAAGAATGAGGAAGCTCAGAGGCCTGGACCTGATCCGAAAATTCTGCTGAAGAGGTTTTGGAAAGTTGCTGCTCCTTATTGGTTCTCGGATGACAAAGTGCAAGCTCGATGGCAACTGGCTGCTGTCTTCGCTCTGACCTTGGGCACCACCGGCATCAGCGTTGGCTTCAATTTCCTCGGCCGCGACTTCTACAACGCTCTTGCTAGTAATTCTTCAGTTCATTTTCCTTCTTACAATCGACAGTATACAAATGCTTGTTCCATTAATTAACCTCGTTATTTTCATATTCACATTTTCGCCTCCGTAACGGGTATCTCGAACAGACAAGGACCAAGAACAGTTCACTAAGCAACTCCTGTACTACCTTGGTGCCTTTGCTGGAGGTATTCCGGTGAGCACACTGGCCTCCTCCCCCCACTTTCGCTTAGGTACTGTTCTACTAGTCTACTCTGTTTTACCACATTTAAAAACAAAGGAATAGGATGCTATTAGTCTCTACACTTTTGATCTTCTAGCGTCTTGGATGGGTGTTAGTGTTGACAAAGGTTGTGTCATGTGGAGGAAGAGATTGTATTCTATTTTGGATAGTTCTTATATAGCCATACATGTACCAAATATTAAATAATGAATCTACGGGGAGGAGTACAGACCAATTACTCCTTACCTAAGCTCACTTTGGCAAAAGTAGTTTAATTATTCACACATTGACTCTATTTCAGTAAGAAGTTTATGCATCAAAGACTCAGTCCTCATATATCTACACACTCGCACCTAAATGTTTCTATAGCCTAGTGAGAGTAGAGCATTTCGTCCAATGCTTTTAATGTTGTCTTCAGAATAAAAATGTTGGCTTCATTTATCAGTAAGAAACATTTCGAAAGAGAAAAGGACAGCACTTGAAAGTCCTGCTTTCAAGTTATGAACAAGTCCAAATGAATTTTCATCAGTAATACTTTTTAACGTATAATTTATTTACGCAACTCTTCTCATGGGTAATTTAACTATAAACATCTCATCTGTGTTACCTGACTCGAATTCACTGCTTTACAGGTTTTTGTATTGAGAGATTATGCAAAGGACATGCTTTCCCTTAGATGGAGGTCATGGATGACAAAACATTACATGGAACGTTATTTAAAGAACCAGTCTTTCTATAAAATTCAGTCCCAATCCATTATTGATAATCCGGACCAGCGGATTGTTGACGATCTCAGTTCTTTCACAGGGACAGCTCTGTCATTCTCTTTGGCACTTTTCAATTCTACAGTGGATTTGATTTCATTTAGTAATATCTTGTATGGTATCTATCCACCACTGTTTGTCATTCTTCTTTTGTATTCGATTGGAGGAACGGCAATTAGTGTTTTCCTTGGAAAGGTGAACTTCCTTGGCTGATTTATAATGATTTTTTCTTTTCCTGGAAACTTTATCTAGCCAGACTCTTTTTAGTTTTAACGTCCATTTATTGCAGGGTTTGGTTAATCTAAACTTCTTGCAAGAAAAGAAAGAAGCAGATTTTCGCTATGGACTTGTTCGCATTCGTGAAAATGCTGAATCAATTGCTTTTTATGGTGGTGAAGAGAATGAGATGCAGCTTATTCTGCAGCGTTTCAGAAGTGCTGTTGAGAATTTGACTGTAAGTATTTTAATAGCTGGATATGTCTATATCTCAAAGTGCTGTTTCATGTCGAGCGATTATTTCAATTTCTAATATAAGTTTCCTAATATCTTACTATCATCTTGTCAGAATAAAAAGTACGAGTACGTCTATGGTATTATCTGAACTCAGGGTTACACGTAAATATGTATTACATTGGATCTCAATGTTCTCGTCCTAACAACTTTAGATATTTCAAGCTTTGGGCTTTTAATTTTGATACAAGATAATCTATGTCAAAGCTCAACGTCCATTTTGTAGTAGTTAGTATTCTAATGTTGGATATTTTTTTTCGTAACCATAGTTGTGCTTCTTCACCTCTGTGGGTTCTTACCGTATTCTTTCAATATGCTGCATCACAGAAATTATTAATAGCATCCAGAAATCTTGAGTTCTTTACCAGTGGCTACCGCTACCTCATTCAAATTCTTCCGGCTGCAGTTGTTGCCCCAATGTACTTTTCTGGGAAAATTGAGTTTGGTGTTATTAATCAATCAGTATCTGCTTTTAATCACATCTTTGGGGATTTTTCCATCATTGTATTCCAGTTTCAGGCCATCAGTGCTTTTTCAGCAATTATTGATCGCTTAGGTATTGTCCTCTTTCTTCTATTTCTTGCATGGATATATTCCTTCCCGATGAATGATTCTGAAAGGGGAAGTGTGCTGATCAGTCTTCTGGACAACATAGTAGCATACATGCATGAGGAGTAGATATAGATCTACTTGGAATCTAAGAAAGGATATTCCTGTGTGATTCAAGTAAAATTTGAAAGTATATAGAGTACATTTTTGTGAATGCATCTATCCATCTTTGTTTTAGGTCATGTCAAAATTACTTTAGCCTTTTTTCACCATTTCAGTATTATTTCACTCGTATGGTGTTATATACAATTTTTTATTTTTTTATTTTTTTATTTTTATTCTCAATTCATTTGACATGCAAGATTTACTTTGCCATTCTTAACCAATTGTTTTGAATACTTGTATCTGAACATTTGCTTGATAGTATATTGGTTCGGTGTTGTATGACTCACTTTTAATTTTGGTATGAATATTGTGAGGAAGAAACATCACTACTAGGCAGAAATAGGATTATGATTGAAGAGTGGAGAAATAAAACATAGGAATGCTGGTAAAAGAAGGATGATGATGATGTAAGTAGCAAGGGGCTAGTGGCCATTACCATTGGAGTTACTGATTGAGATCAGTGTTTGTGGGATTTGGAATATAGAGGGTAGAGATCAACTGTATATCTTAATTTGTCGATTACTAGATATGTTTGGTTTTGAATCCTCAAAATATGCAGGCGAATTTGATGACCTCTTGGATGGCAGTGCTCCTAATGTTCTCTCAAACATCTCAGAAGAGATACATCTCATGTACTCCCATGTAGACAGTTCACCTCTAGTAGAATCAAATGGATCCATGACCCTAGACAAACGTGGAAAATTATTGGAGATTGAGAATTTGACTTTAGGGGCACCAAATGGCTCTACTTTGGTCAGAGACTTGGAACTAATAGTTCAAGAAAAGGAGCATTTGCTGGTGTGTGAAACTATTTCATTTATATATTGAAGATCTATCACGTTACATCGTATTACCATAAACCTGTGGTGGACTAGAAATTCATTAGCATGGAACTACTTTTACAGGTAATGGGACCTAGCGGGTGTGGCAAGACTTCTTTGTTAAGAGTTTTGGCAGGTCTTTGGAATGTTGGAAAAGGAAAAATCACATTTTATATAAATGACTATCCTGAGCAGATAGTTTCTCAAAATGGAGGGCCCATGGAAGCGCATACAGGAGAAGATATATCCCAAGCAAACAGTAGACCACTCAACAAAAATTATCAAGGGATATTTTTCCTTCCACAAAGACCATACATGGTTTTGGGTACTCTACGTCAGCAACTGCTTTATCCTATATGGGCTGAAGGTGCAGTTACATCAGGTTATGTCGAATCAAATGGTAAGTGTACCGATCGATGATTATTTTGAATATCATCAGTCTCACAGACTCATTTCTGGATTACATTCTTGTGGAGATATTTTTTAAAACTAACAATATGTGAAAGCATGTTTGTTGTTCTTTTATTTATTTAGTTATTTTTCTCAATTAAGTGGTATTATTAGTGTGTAATGTCTAGCCATACCTGCCACGGTTGTTTATGTGATGATATTTCTAGAAAGTTAAAATGTACTCATTATGTTGCTTTCTGAAGTTCTAAAAAGGGAAACGTTATTCTTGTTATTCAATCCAGAACGTAACTGAAAGCTGCCCGTGTCACTGAAAGAATGGTTTGCTTGGACTGACTACTATGTGTAATTCAACTAGCGTTGATTTTTTTTCTGTTTGCAAGTCATGTAAACACGCTTTTCTATCATATAGCGTCGATTGATTTTGATTTCGTTTAAGAGTAAATCAATTCATGAGGTAGTCAGACTGACTGTTTTTGGCTCGCAGTATTCCCTTCCTTTTTGACGGGTGCATCAAATATCAACAATGTTAGCGAAAATCCTGAAAAGCCAACAACAGATGACCTAGTCCAGGTTCTGGACAAAGTCGGTCTTGGCTACTTATTGACTCGTTTCAGTAGCCTGGACATAACTTGCGAATGGTCCAGTGTTCTTTCTCTCGGTGAGCAGCAACGTATTGCATTTGCACGTCTATTGCTTTCAAGACCAAAGTTAGTCCTGCTGGATGAGTCTACAAGTGCTTTGGATGAAGCAAATGAGGTACTACTGAAAACATTCAGCTAGAGTTTAATCATGATGTATGTGTTATAGCTGACATCTATTTTCTTTCATTTGTTATGTGTTCTAAGACAAGTACTCATTTGAAACATGCGCCCCTTCTGTTTTAGATAGACATAGACCTTGTGCTTGCATCTAAAAATTGTTTCATAAAAGGGAAACAGTACTGAGACAGATTGAATAATAAATTGTTTAGAGGAAATAGATTCGAGCTTACTTCGACAACCAAATGTAGTAGAGTGAAACGTTCATCGTATGAGAATATTCAGATATAAATTTCCTTTTAATAAAAGTAATATGCCAAATAAACTATGGCTTTTCTTATTCATGTCTTGAAAGTTTGTTGTAGAGATGCAAATGACATGTATGTGACCTTCATTGCAAGTTTTATGCAGCCTCATATGTACCACATTGTTGAGATTCATTGTCATAACCTAACTAGGGTTGTCCAGCCAGCTTATCCTCTGTCTCTTTATATCTACTATTAACTATTTACTTCCGCTTTAATAATTGTAGACATCCATATGAAGATACCCGTTTGACTCTATATTATCTAATGCCCTAGGAACTAGTCACCATTTGTGAACTTTCTTTACTTTACAATTTTTTGCTATCTTAGCCCCACTAAGCCTCCTTCCCAACGCATTTAACAAGAAGATCGTCAAAATTAGCCACCATCATAGTTTTCCATTCTTTAAATATCAGTCTTACCATCTTTACTGAATATTTTCTTCAGTCCATAACTTGATTTGCATGCTTTGTTATTGTGCATTCGTCCAACAACTCCTGTCTTGCATATTGCTCGTATCTATTTTCGTGTAACACTTTTGTTTATTCAACTCGTGTCGGTGAATTGTTCTTAACTTTTGTTCGCAAGGAATGTTTTGTAGTACAACTTTTCTCTTGTTTCTGCTTCTTCAGGCACGTTTATACAAGCAAATTGCTGATGCTGGAATAACATATATCAGCATTGGCCATCGAAGTACTTTACACCATCACCATAACAGTATTTTGCATATATCCAAGTTGTCCAATAGCGAGCAACCCAATTGGAACATTGAACCCATTATTCGTGATGATTTGTACGAATTATCAAAGCAGTAATATGATGCCTATAATTTTGTACTTCTAATCCTCAAATTTCTATTTTTAGTAGTTTTTCTTTTGCAGAGGAGAACCAATGAAGATCTTAAATATGGGGTCGCCTAAAAGGACGTCAGAGAATATTTCCGGAGCTATGTCAGGTGAGGTTTCAACAATTTCGCTATTACTTCTCTCATGAAGACAATTGGATATATGATTTATTCAGCCTCACCTTAATCAGCTTAGCGCAAAGAAATATGAGCCTTTTAATTAGCAATCATGGTTATATTTTCATTTCCAAATTAAATGATCAATAATTTTAATCCATTTTTTTTATAAAAAAAAATTTAAAACTCTTTCTGTAATTGGTTGCTTTATCACATTTTCACCGTTATTGTTGCTTTATCAAATTTTGTATAGAAGTTAAATGTGAAGGACTGGTGGGAAATTTCAAGAGGAATTAAGGGCTTGTTTGGTAGGAAATTTTGATTTTGTTTTTAATTTCTTTGAGTGTATGGATATTTGTTTTTAGATTTTGTGATTCAAATGGTAAAAAATATAAGACCTTTTGTCAGTGTATCCAAATTTTGAAATTTTAAAAACAAAATTATAGTAGAAAAATATTTTCTTTAATAGATACGATATTTTATGTTATAAATTTAATTTACTTTTATGAACTTAAAACATGTATAACATAATATATCATACATTATATGTAATTGTAAAATAATAATTGTACAAAGTTTATAGCATAAAACATGTTCTTAAGTTGATAAATAATAGTTGATATTCAATTTAATATTTAGCTTACAGCTACTTGTATTAATGTATTATTAAATTGCATTTTGGAACAATGTTTGAATTAAAATCTAATTTCTAAATCTACCACCAAAATACACCTCTGTCTCTATATATATATAAAATCTATCCAACAGACTGGAGAAATCAACGAGAAGCCTGAACCTATGATTGTCTTAATGGTTCATCGAAACTTATCATAATTTATAAATGGCCTAAATTGGAATAAAAGTCAACGGAAATTAATATCTTTATTACTCCGTTTAAATTATTAGTTTCTTAAATATCCAGCACTTCCATTAAATAAATTAAAGATAAGAAAGTTGTAATTATTCATAAAAATGTGAAGGTAGAAAAATCCCAAAGTTAAATAAGAATACTAACACTAATACTAATAATAATAATAATAATAAAATCCTCGAACCTGTCTCAAGCAGAAATTGATTGCTTCATTCAGGGTGAGTCGCCACGTCGGGAGAATTTTGTCATCTCCATAAAAAAGAAATGTAGCTTAAGGAGGAAATTAGGAAAGCAAAGTTGGCGTCTATTATTACATAATAGGTCCAGACACTAATTATTGTACCAGAAACATTGAGCACAACCATACAACATGATGAGAGTGCACATACCAGGCTATATTTACAAGAAATGAACCGTTCTGGTTTTTCCAAACATCATACTGGCAAGCAAGCAAGCGAAGTCAATAGCAGCAACTCAATAACCTCCCTGAATAAAAGCGTTCAGGCGGTTTAGCTCCTCTCGGTGCTCGCTCACCACAGCCCGAACCACGTCTCCGATCGACACCATGCCTTTCATACCCTTGTCATCGATGACGGGTATGTGCCTAATTCGGTTATCTGTCCACCATGCACACAGTTTTCTCCGGGTTATAAAGAAAGTAGACAAAAATGGAGCAAATCTAGCAATACAATGTATTGTAATACCAGTCATAAGTTGCATGGCTCGCAAAACCTTGGTGTCGGGTGTCACAGTGATAAGTTTGTTCTGCAAACACAAATTAAAGGAATTTGTCATTGCTGTTCGAAGTTTCAATATTTTGTGTGGCTATTATATGTATAGATGGAGGGTAGATTAAACAAATAATCGAGGCCCGTGTGCAAATTAAAGCAACATCAAGTGATTTGTTTATTCATAAAAATTATAAAAAAAAAAAAGTACATCCATATATACCTATGCAAATAAAGGTAGTTGATTTTTTTAGGAAACAAAAACTAAATTATAAAAATGACCCATGAACTTTGTCACTTGTACCCCTATTCTTTCAAATGTTGTGAAACTACCTTAAACTTTTGTAAATGTTTCAAATCTACCATTAAGAGTAAAAAATTTGTTGAAATGTTGAATAAAAAATCTAAGTGACTAAGTGTCATTCTTTCAGTCTTAAATATATTTGGATGGTCATCGTAGTGACGAAACTAAATACCCTCTTTGTCCCTGGTTTAAAAAATACTCCTTTCAAAATTTTGCAATATTGCCATTAACCTTTCATAAGTTTCAATTATCCTTAACCTTCCATAAATGTTTCAAAACTACCTTTGGAGTAAAAAAATTGATAGAATGTTGAACAAAAAATCAATGCAACACAATGTTGTTCTTTCAAACTTAATAACTTAATCTAAGCAAACATCCTAATCATGTCAGATCATTTCAGGTCATTTATGAAGAGTCAATGGTGATATTGCAACTCTAGAAAGAACGATTATCTTTTAAACAGGAGGTAAAGAAGAAACCAGACTGGTTGACATAACATAAAAGGTGACAGAACTATACCTCCTCAGTCATGATATCCCCAACTTTGGTAGACTTGGAAGACCTGCCTTGCACTATAATCTTTCTCAGATAATCTACAAACGTACGAAAAGAAAGCTGAATTTGAGATATTGCATTCCAAAAGATGAGAAGATGCTTTATGGGACCTAGAGCTTAGAAATAACACACTATTGTTATAGTACAAGGAAAACTAATTGTAGGCAAGGGAAAAATGACAAATAAATGAAAAATTATTAAATGAAGATGCCACAATGTGGTGACCTTTTAATTACGGTTAGATGTGGATTCAAATCTATAATACCTTGAATAATCACTAGATATAAGCTCAAAATACTTTTGCAATTTCTTTCTCATTCATACAATGGTGCAAAACCGATTCTTACGTTGTGGCAGTCTCAACCAAAAATTAAGAGGTAAAGCCAACTAATCTTAAATTACAGGGTTCTAGTCTACACGGCACAATCTTCAGCAGAAACCATTTTGGGTACTCCAAAACTGCAGAAGTAATGCAAATTTACTCTCCGCCTCCAAGAAAACATTAGATAGTTTTCTTGAAAAGACTAGCAACGCAAAAAGAAACTGATCAGCAGTTTGAACTTGCCGAATTTGAAGCCCAATATTTGGCACAATTAGCCGATTGCAAAATATTGGGAACTTCAAAAATTTTCAAAGTAGCCAACCTAGGCATAACTCAACTAGTTAAGGCATATTCTTCACCAAAATGGTTCAAATTCTCAACCACACCACACATATTGGCATTCAAAAAAGAAAAGTGGTTATCAAGTGTACATGCATTTGTTATTTTCCCCAAACTACAGTGTAAATGAATCTCTTCATTCATAATTGGATAGGACCATAATTTTGTAGTTGAACCCATTCATTCAGAGAAATATCTGCATTTATAAAGCAAATCATATCACGTACCTCTTTCCGTTATAATACCAGCAATTGAATTTTGCTCCGCAGGCTTAACAACCACCAAGGCTCCAACATTGTGCTGAGTCATCTTTTTTTATTCAAAAAGGGGGAGTGCGTAAGTAGAAATAGCAGCAGAAGTAAACAATTATAAAGATTATGAGAACTTTCGAACAGTGCAGAGATGCATACCGACTGGACGGCATCATAAACTGTGTCATCTGTAGTGCACCAAAGCCATGATCCGTCAGCACTTTTGCCTTTTGCTTTCAAGATGTCATCAATAGTAGTGCTTTCAAAGCCATGTTCTTCAATGTTTGCAGAATTAGCTGATGTCGTAAAGCATGAAAACATTGCAGGCCTCATCTGGGGGTTTGCTAGACGAATTTGTTGCAGAACAGCAGTTTTCACAACGTTTCCGTGTGATAGAAATGATCGCACAGCACCTTGCATCTTTACCTGAAGAAACAGACGCTTAAAATTGTACAATAAACCCTCTAATGCTTGAAGAGCGTGCCATTTTATCAGAAGACAGCAGTCCAATACAAATCCACCCGTACTCAAGAAAATGATAATTTTAAACTTCCGTGACAAAAATTTTACGTGTAGAAATCCACATAGCAAGAAGAAAAAAAAAACATCCTGCAAAAAGCTTGATAATTGAAGCACGATCTATGTCCGCCATTTCTTTCATTGTGACCTGAGATAGCTATTCTATTTTTCCTCTTTTCTCCGAGTTAAATGCCAGATTTAGCAATAAAATTAAATTGGCTCGGCTCTTCCGTATTAAAATACTCCATAAATAAGAAGACCTAGTGTGGAAGAATGTGAACGGGAATATAAGGATGAAGAAAATCAATTAATTACACACTCAGTGGAGCACTTCTTGAATCCTCCGGCGTCGGTCAAAACCAGCACAGGTCTATTAAATGATGTAGTCAATGAAAAACAATCAATCAGCAGAGCAGAGCTTCACGAATACATTAAAACAAAGAGCGAGAGACAAATCGAAAGTGACTACCAGCAAGAGACAATGAAACGAAAACAAATCCAAATACCAGAGTTCAACCTTGATCGCAGAAAAACGATAAGATTCATGCGATAGATAACAAAATGAGGATGAAATGGCAAAAACAAAAAGAGAGAGAGTACCTGATGAAGAAGATCCACAAGAAAATCTCCGGTTTCAAGGAAGTTGAGAAGAAACGAGTAATGGCGAAGTGTGAGGTTCGGATAATGAAACCTAACGGAAGGAGAAGGTCATAAAACCGTGAGACCCGATTTTATCTCTCTTTCTTTTTGTTTTTCGGACCTCTTCCCCGCTCCCATGTTTTTGTCATTCTTCCTTAGTCTACTAATTCCTTATTATTGTTTTTTCCTTTTATATATAATTTTATATATCTTTTTTAAAAAATCAAAATTAACCCTTCATTTTAAAATAATATTATTTCTTAACGTCCAAATATATATATATATATATATATATATATATATAATTTTGGAGTAAGAATCTTTTTTTTATTTTTATTTTTTCAAATCAGAAGATATTAATTAAATTTTTTAAAGTTTAAAAATATTTTTTAGAAGTTGAAGAGTATTTTTGAAAATAATATTAACTGTATGATGACTTTTCTTTTTAGTTTAAAATATTATTAAAATTTTTTAATGGAATATTTTTATTAATTTAACCTTTTCAATATTAAAACAAACGACACATCATGTGCATTTAATAATTTTTTATTTTTAGGCGGTTGCCTTTCTCAAATTCGAATTTATTAATCATCATTTTAAATTTATATATATAATGCCATTAAATTTACTATTAATTTTTTAAATATTTTTATTCCTTTTTTAAACAATAACGTTCCTTTTTTATTTTCATAAATATTTTAAAAATACACTAAATACCAACGGTTTTAAAAAATAGTTTTAAAATGAAATTTATTGAAAAAACAATTAAAAAACCAGAATATTTTTAAAAAGAAAAAAAAAACAAATAGTTATTTGTTATTTATTTATTTTTTTAATTACGATAACTAAATTCTTGTAAATAAAAATACAAGAAAAACAAAATCTTGTAAAAATTCCCAAAAAAAAACCTATGAATATAAGTTTAGTTTCTTCTTGAACCGAAAAATTAAAATTATTTTAGCGTTTTTTTCGGGGAATAATATTATTTTTAAAATTATACATATCGAGCACAATAATTGAAATGGAGTTTGGGAGAAGTTTATGATAGACGTTAGAGAGAGAGAAAAATAAAACATAATCTAAGTTTTGGGTCATTGTTTGTGATGTTATGCTAAATGAAACATAACCTAACAAACAAACACGTTTAATATCCATTTAGTTTTTTCGGTTTTTCTTTAAATAGCGTTTAACATAAGAATCTCTAAATGATTCTATTGTGAATTTGTGCCCATGATTTAGAAGAGCATATTCTCATGTTCAAATAGGAATACAGCTGAAAATTCAGAGAAAAATTGTTACGAACGATATTGTTTTGGTGTAACTTTAATGGCAATTATGGGAAGCTTGAAGTTTTTTTGGCCGGAGAATTAAATTTGGCTTCAAGAACAATGCGACTATTGGCACTATATTTGGCGGGCGGATAAGAAGGGTTTTTCCTTGTATAATAGTCAAACAAATGTATTCATCCATGGACTTCTTAAACAAAACCATCACTTTCGCCTTACTTCATATCAAATCTTTTGTTTTGTGTGAGAGTTGTGATGTGCTTGCTGTAATATTACTCTAATCAAAATATTCCATTTGTTGCAGAAGGATCAATATTATAATCCAAATATAGCTCAAATTAGGTTATAATATAAAACACAAAAAGGTTGGAATTTGTTATATTTTCTAATTTAAATCAACGAAAATTCTTCAATTAGATGCCAAGGAACTACGTAAAGACTCGTGAATGTATTAAGCTTGATGTAATGACCTTAAGTTTCTATGACCTCAAAGTCACTATTAATGTCTCATGCTCATGTTTTATGCTGAAATATAACTCTTAAAAGAAAAGATCATCTATTATATAAATGTCGAAAACATTTAAAACATCATCTTCTCTCAAAAAACATTAGCATGATCTTACGATCATGATCCTACCTATTTAAAGTTTACGAATAGGTTGTGGGTGTTGCGCCCCGATGCCTCTAATCATTGGCTTTACCGATAGAACTCGTACGCGGGCTTCAGCTATCTTTAGGGAAACTTCGGAGGGAACTAGCTACTAGACGATTCGATTGGTCTTTCGCCCCTATACCTAAGTCAGACGTAGAGTGTTTTTAAAACTATAAAAAAACACAAGCATGGTTTTATAACCATGGTCCTACCTATTTGATAACCATCTTCATCGTTCCCGAGTCACAAGTCAAATGATTTTTGTACAATCAGAATCGTGTAATACTAAGTCCTAACCTCTCTGTGCTTTAATGTCCTTTCATGCACCATCACAAGCAGTGGATCTCAATTCAAAACCGCTCTAGTAGTTGCTTAATGTTACAATCACATTCTATTAGGATTTGAAAAGTGATTGTGCGACTCTCACTCTCACTCTCGAGTAAGTTAGCCAATTAGAATTTGAGTCACCATTGACACGAATTACGTATACTAAATTTATTATGAGTTAGCTAGATATTATTTTGAAATTATTTTTAGAATAAAAGAAGTTATTATAATATTAAATGAAAAGTCCACCTGTCTTAATTATGTCATTTTAGATTTAATGGAGACAAGTGTCTTAATTATCCTTTTTGTTCATAATTTTAATTAATTTCAAATTTAAAAATGGTCTTAAAACATTTGTAAAATGTGAATGATAATATTGAAAAATTGAACTAATAACCATATTTAAAAAAAAATATATATATAATTTAGCATTTTTAAAAATATTTACGTGTTTTATTTTAAAAAAAAAAATCACGTCATTTTTATATTTCTTTTGAAAAATGTTAAAAAAAATGAAAATCTTTTCGATCACCCGAAACCTAGATTCAAGTCAACGATAGACAATAACTCCCCTTAACACAAAAAGTTGTCCTCATCTCATCCCAATATCTCGTACACGGGTGAGTAATTGACCCTCCTATTGTTAATTTATGGGAGGTTATAAGACTATAAAATGAATATTAAATATTATAAAGTTAATATTTTAATTTCAAAAAACAGAATTAATAATTTATTATTCACTTCTTTTTAATCCTATTATTAAAATTGTATTACTATAGACAAATATAATAAAATTTTAATTTGGTATCAAATAAATATATTTATTTTTGTTTTGGAATAAGCATATTTTTAATTTTACTTTTTATAGGTCTTACCATTAAAAAAATCAATAAATCAATTAATATAAAACTATTAAATTCACGTTTTTATGGAAAATGTGAATTTTTTTTTTTGTTAAATTATAAAAAATACTATTAAATTCTTCTCGTCTTAAAAATTACATTTATTTTTTCAAAAGTGGTAATATTATCTATATTTCTTTAATAAATATTTTAAAATTACTATTGCAATACTAATTAATTAGAATATTCATAAAATTTAAGTTTAAAAGAATGACATTTCGACACGTGGATTAGAGGAAATAGAAGTACCAAAAAAAAAAAGAAAAAAAAAAAATATATATAGTTTTGGTTTTTTGGTGAGAAGAAAGTAATAATTTACTAAAAAGTGAATGTAACCATTAAGGCCTATTAGGCGTCCAAACTTACACAAGAACGTCACTCTGTCGCAATGCCGCCGTGAATTTCCATTTTCCGATTTCTTGTCGGTCTTCCAAAATTCCGATTTCCACTCGAGAGATTCTCGATCAGTCCAGTCAAATCTCAAAGTTCTTTTTCGTTAACCGTCCACTTGTTGTTTTGTACGATCATAATTTATCGTTTTCTCGTCTTTACTTCTCTTCGACTTCACGTTTTTCGCTTTTCACCGGCTGCCGCTAGCTTCCGGCAGCGTCTGTATATGAACTTGGACGACGCTTTTTTCTACTACTTCCGGCTGCTGTTGCTACTTTTTTCTCCCATAATTTCATCCAGTGTATCCAGGCAATGTACTTCGATGGTGATGGCCAGCACTAACTAGTGCTGGTGGCTTTCTAAGCCTACGCTGTCTTTTCCGAAAAAGTATGTCCATATCCATCATCTGCCGGAAAAAATAATTTTGATACCTACTTGATGGTGTTAACTCGTTCTGCACGTGAAGTTAGGGCTTTATACTTGTTCGCTTTTACTCCATTGAGTGGACTATTCAATACTGATTCGGTTATCTTTTGTGCAGTTTGCAGCAATTGTGCATCTGCCTCTTTCTCTTGCGTACATGACTTTCTCAGTTACTGACGCTTCCGATCCGAGTAAGGGACTTCAATGGCTGGCGTCGGTCTTTTCTGGCATTGTTTTCTGCAAGATTGTAAGTGTGCATATTTGAACGAGTCGCGAATCATATTGTTATTGTTTGTTTAAAGTAGACCAACCGAATAGGCAATCCATGATTTCCTCCTCTCTGGGAAAAAAAAAAGGCAATCCATTACATCTAGTGAGATTTCACTGTCGAGGCTTCTTGCTAGACTGAGGAACAGTTTCCTTGACCTAATTTCTACTGTTTCTTTTAGAAGCTGTTAGTTGATTCAATTACCAATCTCCATTGATTTGTTGTTGTCTCGTCACTACACACGTATATTGATTGAGGTTTATTAGTGGAAGCGTCTTGAGTGCATATGTGAATAAAGACGTGCTGCTCTCGTATGCACGTCTGTTTGTTAATTTTGAGAATTGGAAGAAAAATGTTTTCCTCTAGTTCAATTGTGGTGCATCTAGCTTTTTTTGATATGCGTGAAGTTGTATAAATGTTCTTAAACGTTTACTTCTCGTTTACTAGTGTCGAATTTCAAATATTAATGAAATTACTCTTTTTATTACCTACGTTCGTTAAGTGCTTATGCAGTATAAGAAATAATAAAGAACAGATGATTTTTTAGTCTTTTGCTCATTTAAATTGTTTTCTAGCGAAACTTCAATTCTTTTATTGGATCTAGAACCAGATAGGAAGAAACAAGAGTGATTGTAACAGAAAGGCTTAAACGAGAGTGGTTGTCAAACATATTTTTTTTGTATTATTTCTTTTGTTCTTCAGATTAAACATGGAACTGAACAAATAAGAACTGATTATCAAGCGAGATAGTAGAACTAGGAAATGAAAGCATTACAAAATAGACCCTTAATTGCAGTATTTTTGTTGTTGTGCGATTGCACATGATTGAAAAGAACGCATGTTCAGGAACTTCTCTGTTACTGGACAATTTATGCTTTTTTCTAGTCAAGTTTAAATTGGTTTCTTTTTTGAAGGTTTACACGTTAACAGGCATCCTTAGCCTCCAAAGTTTCAAAGCATATGGCCAGTTAAGCGATTTTGGGAAGGTTGAATGGAACAATAGGTAAAATTCTCGTGATTTTTTTATTTCATTTAGTAATTAGCTTATTTCTTAGTTGTACATTTGCTATGCGAATGTAAAATGATGAATTGTTATTCTATTATAGGGGCTTTTCAACTTTCCACGCCCTAGTTGCAGCATCTTCTTCTCTTTATCTTGTACTGTTGTCAAGTACTTTCAATCCAGGTTCCAGTAATGAACTTCTTATAAGAAGAACGTCCTCTCTATCTGATATGACATTGGGGGTAAGTTGATGAGCAGAAAGGTCAAGTCTTCTCCTTGTGTAATATTTGGTTCTAATTTTTTCTCAACTTGCTTTCTTATGTTTGCTGTCATTACAATAATCTTGCCCGTAACCTATTTTCTGAGTTGGCTCTGCTACATAATGTTATGATTATTTTGTGTAAAGTTCATGTCTTATATGTATATGTCTATTTGTATATATTAGTATAATTTTGTTGTTACAAACTATTTGCCTATTATATTATTCAGTTTTCTCGTGACCACTAATTGCATGATGCAAGGGTTATGTGTACGAGTTGAACTTATTTGATATAGAAGTTTATGGTTGGACACTGTTTCAATGTGAGTATTGTTCACAACTAGTGCCTCTTGCATTAATTTTTATTGCCATTTTGTTCTTTGATTGAAGAGTATATTGTGTATGCAACACATACTCAAGACATGTACACAAGGGAGTTGCAATTTAGAGTTTTAGAAAGCTGGACAAGAAATAGCATGAGCTTCTACATGATCAAGCACTGTACCCTGCCTTAATGTAATATAATATAAGCATCGTTGCATTTTATTAATGTCCTATATTGATTTAGTATAATTAAAAAACTAGACAATTCAGAAAACATTAATTTTCTTGTAGACATGAAATTTCAAATGCTCTTGCACTCAACTGAGTGATGGGCTGTAATGACATAAATGTCATTTGGGCCCTTTACCTTCTGACTGTTTGTCATTTCTGGTCGTGTATTCAATTTTTCTTCTCTTTTTGTTTGTTTTTTATATGTGTTCTTAGATCTTTTTCCATTATCGTCACTTTCTCTTCCATGAGGTGCTTAGTGGCTGCAAGTGATTAGTTACATGTGAAGTAATTTTTTAACTTGTGTAACGTTTTACACTTTCTCCATTAAAAAACAGCAGTTAGATTCTTTCTCATTTTTTTTTTCTTTTTCCTTTTGCTTTCTACAGTTCTCTATTGGCTATTTTCTATCAGATTTAGCAATGGTCCTTTGGTTCTTCCCGGCGTTAGGTGGTCTAGAGTATGTGAGTATGGAGAAAGGTTATTTTTTTTTACCACATAATTGCAATACATTACATTCATTTGATATCATATTTAGTTGTGCTTTATGTTTCAATTTTCAATATATCATTTTATAGTGGAAATATAGAAGGAAGCTGAATAACTGCTTTTATTTTTCATTTTTGTATGGTAGAAATAAAACTCATTCATCTCCCCCTATAAGAACTATAATAAGAATTGTAGAAGATACAAAAAATTGTTTTCTCAGTTTCAGTTTTAATTTTTATTTTCTAAAAAATTATAATGTTATTGATGAAATGCAACATATAAGTAGAGAGTCGAGACTAATTTAGTGCATATATTGTGGAGGGAGATTGATTTGAAAAAAAAATAGTAGAAAAGTTGAGTGTATGCAGTATTTGTTTATATATCTAGATACCCAATTACCCAAATGGCGGGTAGAAAAGTTTGTTGCGCAGTGACTTGAGGGAGCAACGTGAGATAAACTACATATTGTGGGTATGTGGAGTGATTAAGTTATGAGTGTGTTTAAGTGTAGCAAGATGCAAGAGTGGATTGGTCAGAAATTGATCTATCGTAAGAAAGGAAGTTATTTTTGTCCATATGGTGAATTAGTGCAATGAGAGGGGAGCATGAGAGCATACCCATGGATTGTGAAAAACTACTATGAAAGAGAATGTGATAATTTATGGATTATTTTTTACTTGGTAAGAAAGTACTGGAAAATAGAAATATCATGGGTTGACTTAGTGGTCATA